GGGGAGGGGTCGCGGCCTCCCGGCTGCTAGTCGTCGTCTCCGTCCTGGACGGAAAACGGGGGGCGGTCGCCGCCTGCAGATGTGTTTTCTCTGTGGAGTGAGCGGGATAATCCAAGCTATATTTAATAAACTGGTTATATTAGTAAAGCTACGGACGTACATGTCTTAAAGCCAGTGTAGACTACCCCCAGTTTGTTTCTGGAGGTATTTACCAAAAATATTACTTAAAATGAATGATGAAAGCATCCTTCCTTTCCTGAAAAAAATTCTGTCTTTTTGCATTGCGAAACTGGCCTGACCTGTGTTGTCCTCTAACCCCTTTTCGCTGCCGTCCCCAGTGGGTGCAGATAATCGTTTGCCACCGTTCCCTCAGAATCAAGCCTGTATGTAGGCAACGACAGCCCTGCGTCGTGTTAGTCCCCCTTTCTCTAGCTGGAGGCAGCAGCGTCGCTAGCCCGCCCTGGGAGGCTGCGGAGGCTCAGTTGTCGCTGGCCGGCTGTGGAGACTTTCCGGCTGGGTCACACTTCAGGAAAGCTTTGGATCAAACATTGGAGTGCAGGCAATGTCTTGCCACGATCAGGATCGTTTCATATGTGTCTGCCGTCCTTTTTTTTTTTTTTTTTTTTAAAGTAGTATTCTGGTGTTTGTATCCCCTATTAGCAATCTACTGTAAGCTTTTTTTTAGTGTTGACTCGAATACTTAGTTAATTATTCTTCATCTTGTATTTCTACAGGTTATACTTACTGAGGTGTAATTACTGTGCGAGCGTGGAGTTTTTGTCTGTTTGGGTGTTTTTGTCTATTTTGGATTGTTTGGGGTTTTTTTGGCTGAATGCTTTTTCTTTGTCAAATAAATTCTATTATCTTTCTGTCCATTTACGTAGTTTGCCAAGGTAGCTTTAAAATAAGATCCTGTCCTCCGACATGCATATAGGCCCTCCCCGCACTGTGATACATGTAAATTTACAAGTGTTCACTTCATTTTGTTATTTCTCTCACTTATTTTTTTTAGTGATGGTGCATGGCAATTACACTCTTTTGCAGGGCGCTGTTTTCCAAAACGACCCAAGCGCATGCTTATAGTTGAAGCAAAGTTTGATGGTGAACAGTTGGCTACTGATCCTGTAGAGCATACTGATCAGCCAGAATTTGCTACAGAATTGGCTTGGGAACTTGATAGGAAAGCACTTCATCAGCACAGGTAACATTAGAAAGTTAAGTCTAATTTGGAGATGAAATTTCATTTTCTTGTCTTTACAGTTACTGAAATACAATTTTTGTGTTACTGTCATCTGAATTTTTTTTTTTAGAAATTTTCTTTTAGCTGTACACTGATCTACCGTAATGTTGCCGCAACAAACAAAAGAGTATGTGGCAAGATAGGTGGTGTTTAACAATTCTAAAGGGTATGTTTTTACACTACTGAAAAAAACGCAAGAGCTTGCAGCACATTAATAATGCTATAGTTCAGGCATTGGATTCAAGCTTTCTTATACATACTGTGGTACAGAATTAACTTAACTTCAAGCCTGAAAAGCCTATGTAAAATATTTTTGAAAATGTCAAATAGAAGAGCTGAGAAATTGAATGAGGTTTCCATAACTGTCATTTGGTTTTGACTGATAGATTATAATATTACCTCCGTATTTTCGAAGAAGTTAAAAAGGCGGTATTATCTTTGATGTTTGATGAGAGAAAAACGCCTAAATGTACCTTACGCTAGCAACCTTATGTATGCCTCATTAGGTGCTTTGCACAAAAATCTTTTGTATGAGTCGTATTTTTAAGATACCCTCACAAGTGAAATTCCAACTTCGTGTGAGGTGCAGTGCTTATTTCTTGTACGTGGATGAGATTGAATTTTTGTCATTAATGTCTTTTTAATAGCCCTTGAGGCTCTGTGAGACTCCAATACACTCCTCTCTCAAAATTAATCCACTTGTTCATTCTCTCACTTAATGATGAATTTTTAGACTTTCAATATAAACTCAGTTTCTGACCTATTAAAACTAGTTCTGTAACAAATTTTGTATCATTGGTATGCTTGAAACCTATGAATTATTTTTATGAACTAATTGCAGAGATAACTTTTACATTTTGGATTTCAACTGAGTTGCTCTTTCAGGCTGCAGCGTACACCTATCAAACTCCAGTGTTTTGCATTGGATCCTGTATCTTCAGCTAAGGAGAATATAGGCTATATTGTACTTGATTTAAGGGCTGCGCAGGAAAAGAAACAGGTATGGTATGGGGCATGAAGCTTTAAAAATTTATGTTTTGACAACAGTACTGTTAAAGATAGTAGAATTTGAATTAAGGCACAAGCATAACTTTCAAGTCCTGTTTTGGAATATGAATCCTAGTTGATCGCATACTTCTTTTTTTAGAGGAGAAACATCTTGACTTTATATAAGAACGTGGGCAAGTGAAAATACTTCTGTACTAATCTTGCACTTCTGAATTTGAGAATTGGACACTTGTAAGCAATACTTCTAAGCGATTCCATTATTTAATCACCTGGAAAAATTTATCAGAGCAATTGATACTGAGCAATTGAATTGAATCTCCATCATCATATCAAGTCTTAAGTTTTTTTAATGGGCCTCTGTGGAAGATGTGTTAGGCGATCAGAAGTTCTTGCCCCTTAACAGCATAGAGTAAACATAATATAATTGTTTATACAAATTTAATTAATCAAAATTCTGTGTTGTGCTTAGCTCTGATATGGGTCATAACAGGACCTTAGTGTCTTATTTTACATCACGCTTCTTAAGGATTTGTGATCTGTATAACTTGCTGTGCACCTTCAGTTGAGAACTTGATTTTCTCTTCTAATTAAAGAGTTATCGCGTATTTTTCTAGCTACCTTGCTTACTGTACAAATTGGTGGAAAAGAGTATGTTCAGCTAGTCTTCCAGGAATCATTCTATAGAATCTTTTAGTATAATAGTGTACTCAAAATAGACTGAATTTTTGGAAATAAACCAAGGTATATTTCTATAGATGATGAAGTAGAAATACTAAAGCAAGTCTAATTTTTCTGTAACCATATTATATTATTGTCCTGTTTTTATAAATGCTTTTGGGTTTTATTTTTGTTTTTAATTATGTAGGCACCAAAATGGTATCCTCTGCTTAGTAACAAGTACACTAAATTTAAATCTGAAATACAAGTAGGTGTTATATTGGAGACTGATTCAAAAGCACTGGTCAATGGTTTTAAAGCAAAGGAGGCACCCCCTAGAGAAGGGAAGGGTAAGTAACATAATAAGAATATCACTCAGTTTGAATTAAAAATGTTCCTGTGCCAGATGAACATATCACTTGTTGCAAATGTGTTAAGACTCAAGAGAATTTTAATTTCATAGCATTTCCAATGCAAATCTTTTACAGCTGATTAATGTGGTAATAACTTTACAAGGATGCTTTACTATGGTAATTGTGTGACTTTCAGATGGACAAAGTTGCAAACCAACTGATCTTTAAAATCAGAATTGGGGACTCATAGTTTATTCCTTTTTACACATTTTACTCTTCAGGACTTTAGAAAGTTCTGTAATGAAAGAAGTAAGAAAGGAGCTTTTTTACAGAATGCAGTTTCAGTAGTTTGGGCTTGGAATTATAAGGTAGTGCAATATTTTGTTTGTTGGGTAGGCTACTTCTCTTTTCTGATGGGTTTTTCATCTGATCTAAATCATTCAGTACTTAAATCATGTTCTATTGATAAGTTTTTGTAGTAACATCTACTTTAAATTAACTGTTGGGACTTAGCCACTTCTGGATTCCCTCGTACATTCGTCTCAAAAGTAATTAATGAAATGTGTCAAAAATCTATTAACTCAAATATTAACACTAGTAGATGTCTTTATTTATGTGCTGTGCTTTTCAGTAATTTTTTTATCTGGCATTTTTTAATGCAAGTTAGTAGTTAAAAAAAAAACAAAACCAAACCCTTAGAAACTAAAAAAAAAAAGACACCCCCTCCCCCCCCCCCAAAAAAAAAAAAAATTTCCCTCCCTCTCTACCCCCCCACCAACAAACCCTAAAAAACAAAAAAAAAAAAAACCCCCCCCCCCCCCCCCCAAAAAACAAAAACAGATTTACCTCCCTCCTTATCCCCCACCCAAAAGCCTATCTACTTCATTTCTAAAAACTGAGCCTCTGTTACGAGTAATGGATTTTCTCCTACTTACCTTACAGTACTTTGTGTTCTTGCCCTGAGGGTAGCTTTTTTCTAATTCTCAATTCATCATCTGCTTATCATGATCTGTGGCTGTGGTTTTGTAAAAACAAAGTGGTCAGTGGCAGTAGGTGTTTTACAAGGTTTCTGGCCCAGACTTCAACGACTTGGCTGCATTGCAAGAGTGGTTAAGGCAGTATTGAAGTTCCAGTGTAATCACTTAGCTCCTTTCACAACAAAGCACAGGGAATTTTACATACTCTAAAGTTTGTAAAGGAGGCAAGGAACTACTGTAAATTATTTGTTAATCTGTACTTCCCTTGTGATCTTTCTGCCTGCAAGCTCTCCTACCGCTCATGACACTGGCAGAAAATACAAGAAATCCCTTCTGCCTTCAGCCAGCATTGTCTTCCACTTCATGCTGTCTGTGGAATAATTGATACAAGCAAGTTTGCCAGCTTTGCCTTTCTTCTGTCATCTCAAGATTAGTCAATACCATATTTAGGCAATGGAGGAAAACAAATGTGTAGATTTTCACAGGTTTAAAGTTAATGTTCCAAGCATTGGGTATGACAAAGCTAGATTACCCAATTCTAGTCTAGTCAGATAGCTAAGGAGATGTTTTCCTTTCAGGATTCATACCCTTTTTTTTTTTTTGATTCACTGACCTAAGTGGTCTAAAGTTTCCAATGTTTGAAACACAGCCTTTTGGTTCACAACCAAAAGTGCTGTGTGGTTATTACTATCTGCGTAACATGAGGTGCTTTGAAATGTATTAAATTACTGGCACTATTGAGTAGAAACTAGTAAACCAGAATACAAACAGTGTTTTGTAGACTGTCGGATGAAAAATCTTCAAATGAAACATTCCAAAGGTCTGTGGAATGAGACCTCATACTTCTTTAAACAATTCAACAGGCTGTCATATGCAGTTACTGTCTTGCATTTCCTTTAATGAGTAAAATAAACAGCATGGTAGACTCTAACTTAATGAAATAAAGTTCCAGTCACTGTAATATTACTCACTGTAACATTAAATAAAAATATGCACTAGCTTTCTGTCTAGCATAGTGTTCAAACTGACATCTGTGCCCACTGAATAGAAATAAATTTCAGCATTTTTTATATCTAGACCTAAGTATACTTAGGGACTTTTTTGTGTTGAAATGCTTTGGAACCAAGCATCAAGATCTTTATTTGTAATTTTACTTTCCACATGTGCAATAATTAAAGATAAAATTACAACTATATGTGAAACATGCAGCCGTTAATAAGGTCACAAGTTACTTAATTTTTTTCTTCTCTCTTAGCACCTGCCCTTCTTTCTGGACTAGACCCTAAAAGTATTGTACCAGTCTTGAATGAAGAAGAGGGCTATCATCAGATTGGACCAGCAGAGTATTGCAGAGACTACTTTGTCTTGTCTGTAACTGTTGCTTTTGCCACACAGTTGGAACAGGTTTGTTTCCTTGCTATGTGTAGTTTTTAAGAAGTACTATCCTATGTTTCTATTTTTGCCCTCCCATGCCTTATTTCTAGTTAGAATTTTGTTATTCTCTTGTAAGTTTCTTGTAATAAATAGCGTTATCCCATGTTGAATTAATATACATCAATTTGAATTTTAAAACTTTGTGTAGTGCTTACATGTCAAATTAGAGACGAAAGATCAGAATTCTTTCGGAGCGTTAAAACTTGCATTTAATTATGCACTTTTATTAAATTCATACATTTATATTGTAATATAGTATAAAAAGTATGTGTATGGATAATATCAGTCTTCAATGGGGTGCCCATGTGCTGAACTTCAAACGATGAAATACCTCTCAGATCCGTAAGATATATGAAACAGCAGTTTATATGTTGCCTAAGGGAAGGACTTACATGCTTGCATGAAGTGCCATGCTAATGTAATAATTTCAGCTTTAGATCTCAGCTGCTGTGTTTATGCTGTATTGTACCACACTGATACACATTGTCTGATTTAAAAATGTAGGTATACCTAAGTTACTGTGGAAGTCTTTACTCCAAGCCAGTGTGATTTTAATCGATCTGTAATTCATAGTGTCTTGTCATCTTTTTTCAGAGAATATAATTTTCCATGTCAGAATTACAGGGCCTTGTGAAGTAAATTTACTGTGATCACTCTGGGGTAGCTTGTGCCTTTTTAGGCATTGAACTCACAGTTGTAGTGGCTACAGGATGAAGTAGCTGGTTTTGGTTGTTCCAGTCTTTTATTCAGTCACATAAGTTATTATATAACTCAGTATCTAATCTGCATTGTTTACTTAGACTATAAAGATTTTGTGGAGGCACTGCTTATTTCTGAATATTTGTGCAGTGCTTGACATTATTGAATATATGATGTCAGTTACAGTCCTTGGTGCTGATAAATCTTAAAGGTGATTCAAAGTGGGTCATTTTGTAAGTTATTAGTATGCTTGTAAAGGATATTTTTTATTCAGTTTGAGTATTAATATAAAAGTTTTATTTTTATTTTGTGTGTAGTGCAAGCTAGGATTTAAGTCAGCTGCTCGGTAGTTTGAGATCACTTTAAGCTCTTTAATTTCCAAGCTAATGCTTAGGGATTACTGTAACTGTACATGGATGAAAGAGATACATTCTTTTTTTCTGCATCTTTTTTTAGTTAGTTCCTAGTACTATGAAGCTTCCTGAACGACAACCAGAGTTTTTTTTCTACTACTCATTACTGGGAAATGATGTCACAAATGAACCTTTCAGTGATTTAATTAATCCAAACTTTGAGCCAGAGAGAGCTTCAGTTCGAATACGTAGTACAGCTGATGTCCTTCAAGTTTATCTTTGTGCACAGTCAAAATTGCAGGTAAGCTGTTTCTTCTCAAATGTGAATGAAAATAATGAAAATAAAAGAAATAGAGTATGGCTCACACTGAAATTGGAAAGCATTTATCTTTGCAAAACTAGATTGTATTACAGTATTTTGCCTCAAATATATGTTGATTCTCTTGCTGATATGAGGGAAACCCTAGCAGCAAGTTTCCCAGCTCAGATGGAGTGCAGTCTGTTAGTACGGTCGCACTAGTAAGCAGGTTACATGTCATGATAAAAAGTACTGCTGAAACACGATACTCCCAAAGAGAGCATCTGGCATTCTCAAGAGCTCTGAGCTCTGGGACTTGCTCTGCAGTCAGACCGTCTGCAACCCACAGTCCTGCTTTGTGCTGCCTGTGATAACCTCACCCACACCAGCTGCTCAGGTCACTCTTGCCTAAGGTCTAAAATCACTGTCCTCAGTGCTCTTTGTGAATAATAAGGGAGGTCTGGCTTTTTTCCCCAGTCCTTAGCCAAATACTATTTTTAAATACACTACAGCCATATTTGGGCTGTTACGGGATATTGCTTATCTTTAGCTATGCCATTAAATGGGGGACATGGTTTAGTGGTGGAGTTGGCAGTGTTAGGTTTATGGTTGGACTCAATGATCTTAAGGCTCTTTTTCAACCTAAGTGATTCTATGATTCTAAATGTGTGTAGTATTGAAAGTATTTATGGCAATCTGTCTGGCTGACACTTAACTCTTTACAAAATGAGACTATTTAGGATTTCTAATAATATAGCTGGTAAATAAGACAGTGTTAGTTGTACAAAGTAAGTCTTGGATCTGGGTCCTTTTAAAGTTATTTTTCTTTAAACGTGTACAGACCATTCTAGTTCTGTTATCCAGGTTAGTTTAAGAAAGTTTCTGTTTAAATCTTACATTGTTTCAGATTTTTTTGTCTCAACTTTAAATATTTTTCTAATGACAGTTTTTGGAGAAACATGCACTGATGTGTTTGGAGTTTAATCTTAGTCTATGGTCTTGAAGCTAAGTATTTCATACAGTGTATATTATATATGTGTACACATACAGAATTATGTGTGTCTTCATCACGTTAAGGAATGACTTTTTGAGCAAGAGTTGTCATGAGGTCAGATCAACATCTTGATTTACAGTTTTCTTTCTCTGACTTCTGACTTAGCTTCTTAAAATTTAAAATGTAGCATCAGAGCACTGTATTCTGATCCTTAATATTTAAAATATTTTTTTCTGAAAGTGAAGACTTTAGTTGTGAAAGATGCTAGCTGCCAGACTAAGGGGTATGTATATGTATGTTGTGTGTGGTTGTATTTGTATATATGTGTGTGTATGTGTATAGACACCTAGGTATGGATATTGGCAGCTGATACCTTTTGGCATTAAAGTCTCCATTAAGTGTAATAAATATTAAGGATCAGAATAGTGTTCTGACCTGCTAAAACAGAACTGAAGTGATTCTTATTATGGCATGCAAGTTTTAAAGAGTAACTTTCACTGAGGAAAATAAATTACCTTAGAGTATGTTGTTTTTTTAAGATCCACCTCTTACTTAGGTGTATAAATATTAAGCTGTGGAAGGAAGAAAAAGTTGAGTCAAGTTTTGAAAAAGGAACAAAGATTCTTACCAGGGATTAAGAACACAATTACTTAATTCCAAAAATCCTTGCTATTTAAGTAGTGTCTAAATATATGCACAAAGGCTGAGCTTTCAAATAACTCATTTTCTTTACCTTGCAGTCATGCATTTTATATGCATATATATTAAGGGCAAGAGTCTGTGCTGTGTTCAGAAGCCACAGACTGTTGAACTTGTCCTCCAGAAGGGATGATATGATAGGCCCTCAGAAGGGCAGTGCAGTGATCTGCTACTGTGCTAGCACTGGGCAAATCCTGCCCGCTCAATACTGAAATTTCATAGCTGTTCTTGTAGTCCTTGTTCACAGCATACAGGGACTAGGCTACATATGATCATTTTAATTTGTTGTATTTATGCTACCTTTAATAGAAGCTGAACAGACAGTTCAAGTGGAAATGCACATGCCAGTTACTTTGTAGCACTTTTGTATGTATACAGATCCATCTTTGCTGTGGGGACCAGTCTCTTGGAAGCACTGAAATACCTTTGACTGGACTACTGAAGAAAGGAAATGTGGAGATTGATCAACACCCTGTGGCAATAGAAGGAGCGTTTGTCCTTGTTCCACCAAATAGAGCTAAACAGAAACTGCCACAGTTGCCTTTGGATATGGCTCCTACTGTTGGGGTATCTGTAATTCTGCAAAGGGAGAGCTTGAGTGCCCAGGTATAGCTTACTCATTTATTGTTGGTTTAGATACTGTTGCACAGTTTCATGTTAAAAAGAAATTAGTATTGCTAAGTCATATTTGATGGTTAAGTATGTAAAAGAAAACCTGAAAGAATAAGTTGCTTTATATGAATTATCCTTTCATTGCTTCATTCTTCTATGTCAGAAAAATATTCTCAAACTATAAAAATGTTGTAGACAGAATTTTTCAGTGCAAGCCATGATCAGTAAGAAAACTGTATCACTTCATTCAGCCTTTGATTCCTTTAAATGCTCCAACTGAACCTAAAGAGCCACAGGAGAAAGTTCTTTCACCTATTAGCGGAAAAACAGAGAGCCTGCAGCAGAGATCCCAGAATGTCCCATCTCAAGCTGACCACTCTTCTTCCACAGAAGATGAAGCAACAGAAAGTGAAGTGGAAAGCCTTAAGTTTGAAAAAGGCACGAAAATAAAGAAAAAAGGTATGTGGTATATATTTTTTTTCCCCAGTTGCGAAGTGTGGTCTTGGATCATGTACTACTCATTTGTGGTGATAGATTTCAGGCAAGTAAGAATTATTTACATAAAACAAATAACAGGAGGAGATTAAATGTTGTAATTTGAACATGGTGGTTGCTGCAAATGCTTGGAAGAGCCAGACTGGGGATTTGGTGGTGTGTAGATTACAAGTGACATGGATGGTCATCAGCTTGAAAAATACCAGAAGTGTTTGTAATTCCCTGAATTTGAGAAAAGGAAGCTTCAGTACAATACCCATGAAGAAACTTACTTGCTCAATAAGGAGATGAAATGGTCTAATGTTGACATTTATTAAATAGAAAGGCAGAAGAAATGTGGAATTGTTAAGATTTCTAAGGAATTTACTATGTGGATAATAAATTGTGAAAACAAACATTCGTACTGTACAGGTTGCTGGACAAAACAAAGCAACTGGGTTTTTTGTTTGTTTGTTTTTACATTATCCTTTTGTAGGGACTTGGTAGTCCACATAGCCTTCTAAGAATTTTCTTGTATTGTTTTTGGTTTGGGGACTGGGTTGGGCAGAAGTCGAAGAGGAACAGAGATGAGAGAGGAAGAAATACTATAATGATACAGTAAAGCTCAGAAGAAAGAATGTTAGTTTGCTAAGCGTTACTGAACATGCATCTTCCGAAGAGATGATTTATGAATAAAGCTGATTATTTTTCGAATTATATTTGTATTACTGTTTTTGAGATTGGTCCTAAAGCCACGTAGTTCTGTAGAGGAAAATCTATGTCCTAGAACGTGCTCTCAGGATTTGTCTGCTAATTCAGCCAAATTTCTTTTAATCCTAACTGATCTTATCTAAGCAAGGATTAAGTCCTTTATATGGAATGTATCAAGAAAAAGTATTGTGAACCCAGCAACTAGTTGGAATCTGCAGTTAAGAAATCCAGGATTGTGATTTTTTTTTTATCAATAATAATAATAATTTTATAACTCTGTTTTGGTAAGATGTAAAACATGTAATTTTACATTTATCTTTCAGGGCTGGTGGCTGAGTCTTGCCAAGAGATTAACAAACAGCTTCCAGTTTTCGAATCGGAGAGCAGAGCAAAGTCACCTCTGTCAGATCTGCAAAATTCCAGTAAAGCAAAATTTATAGAATTTAGTACGTTGAATGAAATTTGAATTTAGTAGTAACTTAAATGAATTTTAACAGTAGGCTGTAAGCAATTTTTGTTCTCATCTGTGACAGCCTTAAACTTCTATTCAGCCTTTCCATTGCACCAAGCAATCTAGTGATGTTTTACCTGAATGACTGAAAATTATTTCATTCCTATGTTGTGCTGACTAGCTGATGTAGAAGTATTACTGAATTTTTTTTGTATCGTTACTGTTAATGCAAATAAAACACTCAAAAACAAGCAAGAAGAAAATAAAGTCAATGCTAGCAATGATGCATTTATTTAAAAATGACAAAAATGGAAACATTTCAGATAATTATGAAAGGAGAGGATCTGAACAACTAGCACTTACAAAAGGCAGTTGAGTTCTTCTCTGTCAGTTTCTTTGCCTCTTCCTCTGCTTTACTATCTTAAAAGATTTTGGAGGATGCTTTTTGGAGAGTCTGTAAGACTTGTAGTTTCACCTGTTACTCTTTGAAGGCAGTATTGGGTCCCAGTGTAAGGACTTGAGAAGCCTGGATGCAATTGGACAGGCATTCACTGTAGCTTCTGCTTCCTAAATTATAAAATGGATGTCACGGTATGTGGGTTCTGATCCAAGGGCATAAGCAGATGTGCTTTACGGAGCTGTCTAGACCTATCTAGTTTATTTCAACAGTAAAACCTCAGCTTGGGACCAATAGTTCACGATTCCTTACATAAGCACTGCAATTGACCTGGTGCTCTGTCTTTTCAGTCCCAAACTAAAGCAAACTAAGTTACTACAAATAATTTTTTTGTAAGCTCACCTCTTCTGCATGCCCTCAAGTTGGCTAGGAACAATTACGTAAACTGTTGAAACTGAAGCCTTATAGCATCCCTCTGAAGAATTTAGTATCTTGGATCTTAGTCTAAACTTTTCTTCAGTGAGATAAACTTGCATAGCTTTGAAGATTAATAAAAAAAGGAAAAAATATTACAGAATCTTTTTCAGATTTGAAGTGTACTGGGGTTTTGGTGGATTTTTCTTTGGAAGCAGTAACTTACAAACAGAGTGGCTATTTTTCATAGTATTAGCTTATATTACAAGGAATTGAAATCTATTGGGGAAGCAAGCTATCTGTACTTGGATTTAAAATGTGAGACCTATCTTTAATGTATTTTGTTATTTTGGGCAGAACAAATTATTAGAAATGCGCACAAATTCTCTTCTGTGTTTTCAGCTGATAATGGTCCGGTAGCTTCTTCTCAACCCAACCCTGCGGGTGCATCCAGTTCGTCTGAGCCTGTGTCAGCACAGAAGATTGTCATTCCAGCAGCCTCTCACCATTATTGCTTTTCAATAGACTTGCGAAGTATACGTGGTCTGGAGGTTGGTTTTCCAATAAATTGCATTTTAAGGTATGATTTATTTTTGTTGATCTTATTCTTGGTGATAACAATACCTTTCTTTTCAATACAAAACCTTCATAATCTGAATGATTGCTGGCAATACGCTGCCTGATGCCTTTTACCTTTACGTAGCTGATTTTCAGTAGTGAAATACTTCAGAATGTTCATCTGGCTTATCACTAAACTTCTGAGCATTACAGCGTTAAAGATAGTATGTAACACTTCACCTGCGCTGTAATTTGTATTAAATCTCACTTGAATATCTGAGCTCAGACAATACAGATCATCATAGATCATCATTCAGTCTTTACAGGAAAAAGCATTACTTGTCTCCTTACTTTCTGGTTGCCTTTCCAGCTGATCAAATGAGTGATTTCTGTAGCTTTCCATGTCTCCACCAAGAACTCCTTGTAGTGTTTTAGTAAGAGACAGATCACCTGGTTTGTGCATGACAGTGAATCTAAAGGAAGTGCATTCTAGTCTTAAAGTGAAAAAACATTATAGTAAATGCATTATCATTCTGAGAGGTAGTATCAGGGGGTTTTGATAGCCTTTGCATACAGGAAGCAAACTTTAGTAGGGAGAATTAGCATCTTTTATTACATTAATTTGTGGAGTTACAAAAAAGACAAGCTTTTTGGATACATGAGTTTTGTGCCTGAAGCAAAAGTAGAAAACTACCAGTGCTAGTTTGGAACAATTGCTTAGAGATTAGTTTATTACTTTTCTTGCATGTTGATATCAGTATGGGAGCGCTTTTGGAGAAAAAGCAGATGTTAGCTGGGACGTGAATGCTAAGTTGGAGGAATAAGAACTAAAAAGGTGAAGGACCAATTAAAAGTAAGGCTACTGAAACCTGTATCTGTATGCAGTTTGGGGTTTGGTTGTTTTTTTAACATTGCCAGTGAAGAGAGAAACTTTCGTTTAACAACTTGCTTGTTTTATTTTAGGTTTTCCTTAGAGTTTAGGACCAAGAGTTTGTAGATACAGGAATGATTTTGTTGTTTAAAAAAAAATTTCTACTTGTGGAATATTAGTTATTGATGGCATATATGAATTCTGTGGTTCATAGCATTTTTTTACAGTTTGCCTTCTAGTTTCCATTAGGGACCTTCTGGCGCACGTGACGAAGCGTATCTTGAAATGGTGATTTGGTTTGAAAGGGTTGGATATTTCTGGCTGTGGAAGTGCATCTGCATTTGCTTTGCATTTGTTGTTCTGACAGAATTTGGTTCAATACAGTTTTAACTGGTCACTGGGAAGTCTATTCGTGTTAATGATTCTTGGAGTTTAAGCTTTGTTTGAACTAGGGTGAAAAGGTGGGGTGGGGGTGGGGGGGTGGAATATTTTAAAACACAACTAACATAGGTTACCTCATTAATGGTTTTCTGTGTAGGCTATATTATTAAATGATATGTGAAAAACAATGTACAATGGATGGCATTTTGTCACATAAAAGCTTTTTCACATAACATTGCAAAAATAAATTTGCTGTAGAACACGGACAACAAATAGATTTTGCTGTTTCATGCACTTCAATTTTTACAGTCAGTGATGCATATGGCAAGAAACTGAAGAGGAGAAACAGCCAAACACATACATGCTAAGAAAAGTTGCAGGGTAAAAAATTGCATTTTCACTCTATATTGGGAGCATTATTTCACTCAGGTCTAAACAAGTTCTTTAAACAATTTTCCACGAGCAGTTGAATTATGGAATTTTTTAAGTGGCAGCATTTGATGCAGTATTTATTTTATTAGTAACTTAGCTGACAGCTGGCATCATCAATTTGAGCAAAGCAAAGTTCAAGAGGTTTTTGGCCTTCCCTTTGTTGTAGTTTATCATAAACTGAATTGTGCTAGTAGAGCAGTTTCAGGCCACATTGTAAATCATTGGTAAAATGATTGGACTTTCCTTGGAGTAAATTAAACTGGTGAATTCCCTTTTAGGGAATTAAAAACTAAATTCTTCAAATGTGACTGAAATTTTCAAATGGTTCTGATACTGCGTATATGTATAATTAGTTATCAATTATTGTATGTTAGACCGGTCTTTGCTGTAAATATAAATGTTCTTAAGTAGCAATCTACATCTGAATATAATATTCCTTTCTTTTCTTTCTCTGCTTACTTTATATAATGACTGCAGAATTTTAATAAAAGATTAATTCGTATGGTTGTGAACACACAGGTTACTAAAGGGTTTTTGTCAAAATAACAGCAGGTATAAATGAAGCTGCATCAGTGCTTAAGTAAACGAAAACATATAAATATTTGAGAACTAAATTCTATTGTTGGATGTATTTGTGCAAATTTTGCTAGCTTTAATACAAGTCATGCTTCAGTAAAAGATCTCTAAACTGGTTTTGTTGTTGCAGAAGGTATAAGAAAAAAGTATCTATTTATTAAAGTATTATTTGATTATTTTTTTGTTTTTATTAGGTACACGTATCCATTTTTTGGCAGTGCAGCACCTATTATGACAAGCCCACCTGTAGAAGTCAGAAAGAACATGGAAGTCTTTCTTCCACAGTCCTACTGTGCATTTGACTTTGCAACTGTAGCTCATCAGCTTCAAGATACATTCTTCAGGTGATAACTTGCATTCTTTTTATCTTAATTATGATTTTTCTATTTTTCATTGTAAATGCAGTCCACAAGTTCAAATTTTTACTTAAGATCATCAGTGTGAGAATTTAGTAAAGAATCCAAGTGCTAATGCCAACGAATATTTAATACACTGCTGTTCCAGTTTCTCTGTTACTTATATTTAAAGACAGGGCCTCTAAAATTCTGATATCTTTTGACTACTTATGCAGGGATCATTGCTTACAGAAACAAGTGCTGTTGCTGTAAGTTGTTAAATTAAAGGTAGATAGCATAGTTTTAACAAAGCATTACTTCAAATGAAATAGATAAGGTTTTTATTTTTCTTTTTAATACACGATGACTATCTGATATCTTTGAAAATACAGCAAGTACCTAGGAAGCTGAGTACAGCGTTGAGGGCTGTAACACAATTTTCCCAGTAGTCCCACCAGCTTTCCATAACTGATTAAGATGTTGAATAAAGAACCATCAAAATAGTGGTATTTTGAAAGAAGAGGTGGAGGAGATGTATTCTATGGGTGGCAGTGACTAACATTTATTTATAGTTATTTATAAATTAAGATGATCTAGATCTGTTAAGATTATTCAGTCAACCACTTTCACTGCAGCATTTTTCTTTCTAATAATTGGAGAAAGGAATGGTAATCTGAGCAAAGTGAGTAAGTGATGGAGAAGATACCAAGTCAGTCAGTCTCATTCCTCTGTGAGTGAGAGGCAGTAAACCCATCTCGTTGTTTGACGATTGTGTGACCATCACTGATTTGGGAAGTGACTTTTAGAACATGAGGTCCTTTTCCCAAATGAATGGGAATCATAGAATCATAGAATCATTA